GGAGGCCGTCAGCTTTGAAATGGCGCCTTGCAGTCGGTGCTAAGATTAGAAAATACTTGAACGTATCAGTGCTGGGGATTTTCAGAGGGGGGGGAGGATGTTGGGGAGATGCTGAACGCTTTCCCTGAAGCAAAACAGGGCAGATTGGGTCCAATAACGGAATCTAAATACTGAGCTCAGGACTGATGTGCTTTTTCCTATGTTTACCTTCAGCTAAAAATATCTTCCGAGTCCGTTTCCAAGACCCCTCCCCAGGCCAGTCCCACACGCTGCAGGCCAACGATATCTTCCACAAGCAGCAGTGGGTGAACTGCATCCGAACCGCCATTGCCCCCTTCCAGCGACCCGCTGCTGCCACGGAGCTGAAGGAGCTGCCAGAGCTCAGCGAGGAGTCGGAGGAGAACAACCCCTCCGTGCCCAACGTCAGAGCACAGAGGAGGCAATCTGCCATGTCAGGCATCACTGAGATGGAGCTCGATGAGAGCACAGCCGAGTGCGGCTCCGTCCTGGACTCAGAGGAAGCAGCCAAGGGCACGAAAACACACAGAACACTGTCTGGGCACAGGAAAACCAGGGAGAAGCAACTCAGCAGCAAGCGGAAAGAAACACTGGTGTAGGGAGGAGCCCAGTGCCATCCTGGTGGAACTGCTTATTTATAAATAACGTGTACATTTTCCTTGTCATGTGAGCACGATTGGATTTGCTCTACTGAACAGAAGTGTCTTTTTTTGTATGTTGTAATGGCAGCTACTGGTATGCAGTTAACACTGTTGAACCGGAGTCTGTTTTTACAAAAGGGAGCAGTCTGAGCCCGCTCTGCCACTGCCAGGCAGCATTTTGACCTCTTTACAGCAGGTTTGTGAAGAACACCTTGTTGGTTTGGGAAAGATTTTCACGTGTGGTGGTTGAGGCTTTTAAAGCAGAAGTTTGTGCCGTCACCTGGAGCCTGGCAGAGCCCCTCCTCGCAGTCCTATCAGTGCTGTGAGAATCCCTTCAAGCACTCCTAAGCTGAAATCACCATTTTGTTTCTGTCTTTTGCAGTGTGTGGTTATCACCACCCATCCCACCAAAAAAAAACAGACCCCAGGTTCAACAGGTTCTCAATTTACCTACTGGAATCTTTCATTTTAGAATGTCCATTTGTACATTCCTCATTTTCACTCACGTAACCTGCCACGTATTTAATTTTGGGGTTTTTTTTTAATTAGTTGTTTTTGTTTCGGGTTGGTTTGGGGTTTTTGTTCCGTTTTTCTTTGGTTTTCTTTTTTACTTTTGTATTGCTGTTGTCATCTTTTAGTCTTTCAGACTTGGCATTTCCTTTCGAGTACTCCATCCTTCTTGTTCAGAGATGTACAAATTGCTTCTCACGTCACTCACAGAACTGGGTTGTACGGGGCGTAGGAAGGTTTTAGGCACGTTGCAAAGGGTTTGGGGAGGGGGAAGAGCAGATAGAAGGAATAGAGGGAGCAGGAGTAGCTTTATTCTGTTGTCTTTTGCAAATGAAACGCCTCTCACTGCCCGTGAGAGGCAGGGTTGGAGGCAACCAAGAGGATACTGCATGTGGTAGAAAGCATAGAGAAAAGAAAGCGTAGAGAAGAGAAAGCAGCTGAAGCTGATGAGTTACAGACAGAGACACGGCTGTATATAGGTGTACAATGGTAGCACTGCCATGTTCTACAGTGATCCAAAGATTCCCGTGAGATGCCAGCTTGGAACCTGTGCTGCAAAGCGTTGTAGGAAACGAAGTGGTGACAGCTCTGATCAAAGCCAAAAGGTTGTTCCTGCAGTACGGCTGATCCCACCGCCCTCCGTGACACCAACCTGGGAGCCCTGAGTCTCGGATGAGGTTCTGGTTTTGTTGGGAATGGGAAGAGGGGGCACGCAGCCACGAAACCCGCACGGTTCTCTGTAAATGGCTTTGTACAGTTTCAAGTGCCAAGTACAATTAAATTCCTGACGGCCTCCTGCTCGTCTGTGTGAGTCGCTGCCTGGGTGGGACGGGTTAATGCCACCGGGGCTGTAAGGCTGAGCTCAGGCAGAAGAGATAAGCTCACAGCTGCACTTCTGCCCCAGCCTCTCCTGCACGCTGAATTCACAAGAAAGCAGCCCTGTGTCACAATCCTCTCCCTTTTTTCCCCGAAATGATGAGCGAATGGTTTATGGCCCAGCACATAGCCTGACACCGCCCTCTGTGTGCTGTAAAACAGGGCACAGCTCTGTGACTCACTGCAGAGCCTGCAGAGCTTGCTGTACCTTCTGGGGTAGAAGGAAACAGCCCTGATAACTGCTCCCTCCCCAGACACCGCAGGTTGACTGTGTATGGCAGCACAGGGCACAGCTCCGTGCCAGCTGCCCTGGGTTTCCCAGTGCTGTGTGTCAGAGGTTTGCACACCATTTTTGCCCACTGAAAGTAAGTTTGGAACTGGAGGGGGCTCGGCCCTCTGCGTTTAGGAGCAAAACGATGTGGAAAAAAAGGCTCTTTTGGCACAAAAAATAGAAGACATTATGAGCTGTGGGCGCGCATGGCTGGACCTCAAAGGAGAGGAAATCCTGCAGTGAGCCCACTGAGCCTCCTGCACATCACAACGTCGGTCTGGTCTTCATGCGGGCGGCAGACAGCCAAGCAGCCAAGAACTTCATTTCCCCCCAGCACGTCCCAGTGGTTCCTCTCCCTGATGGCGTTGAACCCGTGTGCTCCAGGGCTGGATGTGCAGACTGCACTAGACTAAACACGGGCATTCCTGGCTGCTCTGGGCTCCCAGCCACTCCTTTCCTTGCTGCCAAGGGATGTGGGGACGCAGCGGTGGGATAGCAGAGGGGGACCTGGAGCAGCACTGCGTCCCCAAACCACACCGAACCCCCCAGAGACCCTTTCCAAAATCCTGTTTTGTACCTTGCACCCCAACGCAATCCCTCCTGGGCTTTGTTCCTCCCCATCCGCACAGGTAGGACCGGCCCCAGCACGCCCAGGCTCATGCAGAGGCCCCATGGAGGTTCTCTGCCAGAGCAGTTTTGCTCTCCACCTCCAACTTTCTCTTTTTTCCACAAATTCTTCAGCCTCCCCCTTCCCTCTGCCTCGTCTGCAAATGCAAACCCAGACGTTGCCGCACACATCTGTGCTCGCGCTGCAAGCCACGCCGGCTCAGGGTAATCCGTCTGGGTGCTTTTAACCACTCATTTGGGGGCTTTTTTTTTTTGGCTGTTTCATGGATCAGCCAGGCATCGAGAGGAGAAAACGCCTGGAAAACACTTCATGAGGCTTGAACTTGAGCCACTCGCACCCACCGGCCTCGTCTCCCTCCTCCATCAAAGCATCGACCCCTCGAGCCCCGGTTGGACGCGACCCAGGGAAAACAGAGCTGCTTTCCTGTCCTCCCAGATGCGATAAATGGGACCCGGCCATAAACCACGGGGTTTTATGGGCCAGAAGGCAGTTTGACGAGGTTAATTACCCCGTTGAACTAATGAGGCTGTAGTTAAGGGTGGTCAACATCAAAGGCCGACCTTCTCCCAGCGGCTGTGGTCAATGGGAAGGTAATGGACGGTGCTGATGGGGAAGCTGTCTGATGGTGTTTGCTTCTCCCAGCCACCTCCACCAAGTTCCCTCCTCTTCCCATCCTCCCAGGGGCTCTTTCACAACAGTTTTGATTCATCCTGGAGCAGAACAGCAAGAGAAGGCAGTTAGATGGAAAATCAGGGAGCAGCTTGTTGCACAAGAGGAGCTCCCAAGGGCTCCCCTCCCCGAAACACACTGTGCCTCTCGCCAGACAGGTTTCCACCACGGCACAGCCCATTCCTCCCAGCAACGCCTGAACGTGCCAAGAGGTTTTTCCAGATGAGATTTTTCTTAGGTGCTCTCCTCCCAACCTCTGTCCCGTCTGGAGAATGCAATTCCCATGCTGTCCCATAGTTTGCTTCTGTTTCATGACATTCCATCCAAATCTCACAGCTTTACTTCCTCACCGGGGTAAAAATGGGGAAAAGTGGTGGTGTTTTCTTGTAGACAAGAAAGTCAGATTGTATTCTGCTGTAGAGTTTGGTCATCTGGTCCCATTTGTACCCTGGTCCAGCTGGAGAAGTGACTTGGCCATTATGGGGACATGGGAAAAAGAGGGGGGTGGATGGATGGATGGATGGATGGATGGATGGA